CCCCCAGTGTCCTCCTGCCAGCTTCCGTCACCTTTTTTTGTTTGATCTCTTCCTTTTAGAACAACTGATGAGGCAGACATTTTCCCCATTTGGCCAAGTCCTGGAGATTCGAGTTTTCCCGGATAAAGGATATTCTTTTGTGAGGTACGCTTTGGTTATGCTGGTTTCACTGGGTGTGTTTAAAAGGTCCCTTTGACAGTGGTGAACTAAGTACTCTGGTGGAGCCTCAGTTGTTATAAAAATCTAACTAATCTTATTGGTCCAGTGATGCAAAGGAGGTGGTCCGCATTGGTGAGCTACGTGAGCTATACACTGGATCTTTGTAGCTCACAGACCCACGTTGTGGAACTCTGATCAAATTAATATTAAAAGTTCAGCAGAACATTCTAGAGAACATGGAAGGAAATCGTTTAATTCCCCTTTGCAGCAATAAATTGGTCTTTGAGACAAGTGAGAACGGTTGTTGGGCTAAGCTGCTAAACGTTAATGCTATTTCCTTCTCAGTAAAGACCGCGGGCTCGCTGCGGGGTCAGCTTGCACTAGGACAGGCAAAGACAGATTTGTTCTTCACTACTTCATGTTTAGGTTCAACTCTCATGAGGCGGCGGCTCATGCCATCGTGTCTGTCAACGGGAGCTGCGTAGAGAACTACGTGGTGAAGTGCTCCTGGGGCAAGGAGACCGCGGACACGGCCAGCCCCCTGCACCAGGTCCCCGTGGCTCCGGTACGGAGCAGCCTCACTCACCCGCAAGCTTCTTTCTGTTTAACTACATACAAAACGCCTGTTTTTCTCTGTTATTGTCCAGTAAGTGACTAAATCTTTTGTAGAATATGTGATCACCTGCTACACGGAGTTTGCTTAGCTCCGCTGTGCTGGTTTAATAGATATGGGTGACTTTATCCAGTCTGTGAGCTTTTGAATCGCGCTTCTGATTGGCTGTCAGAGGGAGGCGGGTCTCACCCAAAACCTGTTTGCTCACCTTGTGTCTCTGTGTCACGGCAGAACAAGGTGGGCTTTGCCGCCCAGCCCTACGGCCACTGGGGTCAGTGGTACAGTGGCACCCAGCAGATCGGACAGTACGTGTCCAGCAGCTGGCCGGTACCCGCCTACGGGGTGTACGGACAGGCCTGGAACCAGCAGGGCTTCAAGTGAGTGCCGTGTGACCTCAGCGTAGGTGGGAGGGGCTTCTGCATGCCATTGTTGGGGTATGTTTGTCTGCTTGGGCTTCTCCCGCCGCCTGCCTCTGACATTCAGCTCTTTCTCTCTCACCCCCCCCTGCCCCCCGTAGTCACCTGCAAGCAGGGGCCGGCTGGACAGGCATGGGCACGGCGGTCAACAATGGTGGTGTGGTGGAGCCGACCGCCGCTATGAATGGAAGCATGCTCCCTAACCAGCTGAGCCTGGGGGCCGGCGGGTACCCCACCCACTGATGGCTGTCTGCGAGGCCGCGGGCTGCCGCTCAAACTTGTATATATCCATATTAAAGGACTGGTGAGGAGCTCAAATCAGTTGTGAACCTGAATTTTTCATGACGCTTGGATTGGGTGCTGTTGCCAGATGTTTTTTTTTGGCCTTTCGAGGACTGGAGTCCAGGGATTGGCTCACGAGATGTTTGACCTGGTGTCAGACCAGCTGTACAGGGAGGGGGCTGTGCCATTTTTAATTCGCTGCTTAATTAAGGGCAGCTGGCTTCTAGAGTAGTTCTTTTCTGGTGATTTGTTCAGTGATGTTTTTAAACACCCGCTCTTTTACCGAGTGAGTCTGATCGGGTTGTAGGTGTCTGATATATGACACCAGCCGGGTCCAAAGCCCGGCTCCCTCGAATGTGGTCGGACTGAGGCGGCCGTGGGGCACAGTGCTGCCACCTATCTTCAAGGCTGATAAATGTTAGTCAAAATGTTCCGCAGTGTTCTGGCTGGAAGGCTGTGAGTTCAGTACATAAATAACCCAGCATTGCCTCTTACATCTAAGGCTGTAAAAATTATGGTGAACATGCACACCTCATTATGAAAGCTTGCTTTGAGTCATTAGCTTAATATATGCTGTCATTAGCAACACTGCTACATGCTGATCCTTTCAGAGTTAAGGACTGTACCACCTGCAGTTCTGCGGGGGGGGTGGGGGGGGGCGTGCTTACATTGCTACGCGGTGCTATACACTCAGACGGCAAAGCAGGTTGAATCATCTAGATCATTCTTTGTTTCTGAAGTAGCATTATTTAGTGTTTTGTAAAATCCCTGAATGGATTAAAACTGCAGTGTTGCCCCTTCATCGTTTTGTGGGGGGGCAGCGTTGGACATGCCAACCTGTTGCCTTATTTTGAGTTTTTATGCTGTCTTTACAAATAGGCGGTGCCTATGGGTCTTTTAAAAACCTTCTTGAGGATTCCTCGCCTTTTTGTGGTCCTTCGGGATTGTAGCGCATTCCTGTGTTTGGGTTGAGATGCTCGACCTGCTTGTTTTTTTTAAATTTCTTTTTTATTTTGCCGTCATAAATGGATATGATTTTCACATTTTATTTAACGTTGCTTTTTTTTGTATGCAAAAATTAGGCTGGACTGACTGGGTCAGTAAACATGTGTTTGGTACTTTGAAGTGGCTTTTCAGTTGCTGTAATTTGTGAAATCTTCGTAATAAAGGGGACACCTGATGATATCACTGCTGTGCCATTTGTTCATTTAACTCTTCAGAGGAACGGACCATGGAAACCATTGTGTTGGCTGGCTGCTCGCGTTCCATCACATATAGATGGCTAGAGGCTTGGTGGACTTTTGGCTGGTGTATTTGGAATATCATGTGACAGGATGTGATGTCGTGGGTGGGTGCAGGTGTCAGACATGGAACCGGAAACCACTGAACAGGGATGAAATGTCTGGAGAGGGACATTGATCCCACCCCCCACGTCCCTGCTACAGGGTTCCTGCTTAGTCCCACATTCCAAACATCTGCAAAGGTTTAAGAAGCTGCTTCTCAGGAGGAAATATCCGCACCGTCAGGCTGCCTGGGGCATTCGGCTGCATTCGAAGACATTTCATCGTGCATTTCAAACAGCCTCACTTATATTGTGGGTGACAGTTAATGTGATGTTGAAAATGTTCTGTCAGCTCATGCCAACCTCCGGATTGGAACCAGATGTACGGCCGTGGGAAGTGCTGCATGTTTACGCTCTGCCTTCACAGCCAACATGAGGTTACTCAGCGTGCCAGGGAGCTCTATGTCTGTTCTACTCTCAATACGTGCTGGTCTGAAGAAGGACCTCGAAAGGCTTTGGCGTATCGTCATGGTTTAGTGATATGAGTCAATATTGTTAATGGAGTCGATTTGAATTGTATGGTGCTTTTAACAATTGATATATCAATTAGAATTGATGAATTGTTATACTTTTATTTGCACTAACCAAGCGCGGTGTGTGTGCTTTATTTGGGTGCTCTGTGTGTGTGTGCACTTGTGTGCGTGCTTTAAATGGCCGATATGTGTATGGGGGCTCTGATTCTGTGTTCTCTAACTGCATGTTGTGTGTGCGTGCATGCACTCTAACCGGGACCTGTATGTGTGTGTTCTATCCAGTCACTGTGTGTGTATGTGGTCTAACCAGGCACTGCGTGTATGTGTGTGGTCTAACTGCGCTCTGTGTCTGTGCTAAGAGGGCAGTTTGTGTATGTGTATGTATGTGTGTGTTTCACAGGTGTGAGAAATGTCTGTGCATAAAAGTTGTAAAACCTCATGCACATGCATTTTGGTCTGTGTAAGTGTTCCGTTCCTACTACCTGATGTTAGTGTAGTATTAATATATAGTGTATCATTAACTACATAGTTAAGAGTTTAGTTATAGAACAACAACCAGCATTGTTCATTAGTGGAAGTAGTGTTTTTTTTGTGACCATTTTTTCAAAACGAGAGAAAAAATGAACAAGCAGTAAAAGATTTACATAGAAAATAACCCCCCCCCCCCCCATGGATACCCACCCCTTCCCCTCCAACCATACCCTGAGACAGCCCAAGAGAAAAAGTGAGGAGAGAAAGGAGAAATCTGTCAGCAGAAGGAATGACCAGCACACCCAGGAGAGAGAGAGCAGCTAAAAGAATCAGGGAAAAATAATGGTAAAAATTAAAGAAATAATCAAGATGTATGAGTATAAAACAGATTGCCTTACATAGTGACCCCCCAACCAGTTCTTGACTAGCTGCATGTCTTGAAGCCAGAGGACAAGGGAATGGGAAAGGAGAGAATTGTCATAGAGATGCAGACGGAGTGGAAGTCGTGTTACCATCCAGATGGACACAAATAGCAGTTGCATCCTTTGAATAAAACGGTCGATGAAGGCGTAGCCTTTGTAGGCAGCATTCTTTGAAGGTCAAACAGAAAACAATGTCAAATGGGATGGTTTGACCCATGGATAACTCCCTATTTGCATCACCAGCTGTACCCGCCCTTACCCTAACCCTTACCCTTGCCTCACAAAGCACCGCTCCTATTGCTTAGCTGGGACACACCCACTTTACCTTTGCACAATGGATCTTGGCCTATGTTGGGCTGTGAAGGATTGATCAGGTGCATCCTTTTGACTCTGCAAAAGAAGGATGCATTTCTAGGCCTTATTTGGAGGAGCCCTCGAAATGGGACAGACTTGTTGCACAGCTGTGATGCATTTGATCTTCGACTGAAGCCTTTGAAGGATGCAGCACCTGAACTGGGACACAGTCATAGCATAGCTGAGTTACGAGAGTGGAATGTGTACTTTCCGCTTCCTTTAATGAACTTCATTAAAAGGCATTACAAGTAACGGTCTTTACAAGTGATCTACATGTCAGTGTAACTTGCTTGACGCTGAGATACAACGCTGCCATTTCCATGGCCAAAGTTCTCATACAGTGTACAATACCGACTAGTTGGAGAGCTCCATGCAGTCATTAAACAGGTAGGTCATTAAGTGAGCAGTGTCTGTAAAATATAGCCACCCTTTGGCCCCAGCTCCGAAATACAGGAAAAGTTGTTCCATAGCCTGATTATCCACTGCAACCTTTCTTGACCAACTTTCATAGCCCTTTAACCTTACACCTGAAACCTCATGCGAAAATGAACTTGAACAGGTAACCGTGAACATGGTAGAATCATTTCGTACCACTCTTGATCATGTAGCACCACTCAAGAAAATAAAACATAGGGATAAGAAACCTGCCCCCTGGTACTCTGATCGTACGTGTGAACTTAAACAAGAGTGCCAATGGCCTCAACCAAACTAGAAGTTTTCAGATCTGCCTGGACAAGCACTAGTGACTGCTAGGTCTGTGTATCTCACCATACTAACAGAAGAGAACAGAAACAATCCTAAATTCCTGTTTGAATCTATGTCAAGGATAACAAAATAGGATTTCGCCATCTTGTTCATTTGACTTTCTCTGCTGCCCCCTGGAGGATGGGCTCCCCTTTTAAGTCTGGTTAGGGTTAGGGCTTCCTCTGCTGCCCCCTGGAGGATGGGCTCCCCTTTTGAATCTGGTTCCTCCTAAGATTTCTTCTTTCTAGGGAGTTTTTCCTTGCCATTGTCACATCTGGCTTGCGCACTGGGGACTTTGGGCAGAGATAAAGTAAAGTGCTTTGAGACAATGTAATGCTGTGAAAATGTGCTATTCAAATAAAATTGAATTGAATTGAATAATATTGCTACGACATGGCTCCTACACCAGGATGGGTGATTGTCAAGGGGTAATTTATTAACAATGAACACAAACAGGAGAAAACATAAAAGAAAAAGACAATGACACAGCGAAGCGGAGTGGGAGCCAGCATGGTGGCTGCCTCAGGATCGATTCCTCCCCCCTTGCAGGCTCAACCATGAAGATCTTATAGCTCCAGCCCCAGATGAATAGGGGGAAGAGAAGCTGCCAGAAGAGGGAGCACTATGGTATGTGAAGCTTGTCACCAGAGGAAGGAGATGGATGTCAGAGTAAGAAACCACATTTCCATTGTTTTCAGTGGTGTATCTTTATCGCTACAATGCCAGTGTGAGTGTATTGTGGGCCACATTGCAGCTGATAATCTTATTCCTCAAATGTGTGGATTAAAAAACAAAACTCAAACTAAAATGTAAAGTAAATCAGGAACCAAAAAAGAGAATATATGCTATGTTTTTTTTTTTGCAATTTGGAATCACATGAGGACATCATTAATGGTGAAACATGTTGTGAAATCATAAAGCTATTTTTTAGCAAAAAATTTAAAATTCTGCAATCAGAATAGCAAACCAATTCTTTAACTATGTCCATTGCCATAGTTCTTAAATATGCTCATGTAGCGAAGCTAAAAAGGATTTTTTTTATATAACTTCGCCAAATTTTAGTTATTGTACTTTTATTTTAGAATAATTTTTATCAGGCCAAACAGTCATATGTAGTAATAAAGTGAATTTATTTGATTCACCAGAGAGTGCTGTTTAATTATGTTACTCCTTTATGCTTTGTGCACCTCTGAACCAGGACATTAACAGAATAGAAAGTGTTAATTGTCATTGTACAAACAGCAAATACATACAATATATAGACATAAATTTATGAAATGTACATACACAGGGGAGGGGGAAAGCCCCCCTAATCATCAGGATTACATTAAATTTTATTTGAGTCAGAGAGAAAAACGATTTTTTTAGAAATTTGTTCAGCTTGCCAAACATCGTCATGTATTTTGTCAAACACATCGCATTTCAGAGTAAAAACGATTATACTGGTTAAAAAGCAGAGATTTACCAGGGATAACCAGCAACATGACACACTATGATACAGAAAGAATGATTCCTCTAGCACACAGTTAGCTATCCCAGCATGCACAGCGACACTGAGCAGTCTCTATGAATCCCAAACCCTGGACAAAGGGGTTCAGTGAATGAGGAGATGACCCTGTACAGGAGGGTCAGTCCATTAGAGGAGACTCTGTAGAAGGACAGAGTACCAGCTTCCCAGTCTAGATATACTCCTACTCTACGGGAACCTGAGGGATCTATGGGTATGTGAATCGATCTGTAATCGTGCCAGAAAGAGTAACTGCAACGATCGCAGCTCAGAACCCATGACTTGTCATTGGCTCCAAGCCGACAATCATCACTCCCTCCTTTCCTCCCAATTCCTTTATAAGTCACTCCTATCCAGACGTTGAATCCATCCCACTCAGCCTCCCAGTAACAGCGACTAGTCAGACTCTCTCTGCACAGAACTTGGTAGCTAATGTCATCAAATCTTTCTGGATGGTCAGGGTATGGCTGCTCTTCCCCATGTGTCACCTTCCTGTTCCCCTCTGACAGAGAAAGCCCATTGTGTGCTGTATTGGGATCCAGTGTCAGCTGGCAGAGGTCTGTAGGTAAGAGGAATACCATCAGGCAGATACCACTAATACCATCAGGCAGACCAGCGTCTCCACCATTTTATCACTGTCATACTTCACACACTCAATAACACAGAACGCGTTCCAATACACTCCAAAATACAATCAGGGTTCAAAATAAAAATTCTGCCTTGTTAAAGGCCTTGTCCACATCTAAGAAGGCCACAACTGGGTCAGAACTTGTACAATTTTTCCAAGGTGGAAAAGCCTTCTCAGGTTGTCCGCAGCCGATCGACCATTAACAAAGCGCACCTGGTCTTGATGTATTATTGTGGAAAGTATATTGCTGAGTCGGTTTGCAAGCACCATAGTAAGTTGTGTACTATCTACTATCAGAGTGAAATTGGTCTGTAATTGCCACATTGTTGGATGGATGGATGGATGGATGGATGGATGGATGGATGGATGATGGATGGATGGATGGATGGATGGATGGATGGATGGAAGGAAGGAAGGAAGGAAGGAAGGAAGGAAGGAAGGAAGGAAACTTACATTTCTGTAACCCTGGTCTGGTCCAGGACTCTCCACTGTGTTCTATACTACAGGAGAAGCAAAATAACTAAATTTTAGTGTATACATCTATTTTATTGTTGCATCTTTCTTACATATGTGTGTCTCTTGCAGTGTCATACATACACTCTGTACTCACTTCATTTTCTCCAGTTCACAACTGGGATCCTCCAGTACAGCAGAGAGCAACTTCACTCCTGAGTCTCCTGGGTGATTGTAGCTCAGGTCCAGCTCTCTCAGGTGTGAGAGATTCGACCTCAGAGCTGAAGCCAGGGAAGAACAGCCTCCCTCTGTGACTCTACAGCCTGACAACCTGCAGAGACAGACAAAAAATCTCCAATAAATAAGATCACCTCACCATTACAAGTATTCCTTTTAAGTAAAAGTGACTACTTTCAATAATTACAGTTAAAATTCTGGTAAACCCAGTAATGCTGATGTTCAGGGCTCTCAAGTGTCACTCATTGACTGTGAGACACACGCATTTCAATCAGTTCAGCTGCTCAGACATCACACCTTGTGTTTCTCATGCTGAGAAGTAACACCAACCAAAGTGTTCCGTTATGCAGAATTAATGGATGAGGTGCAGGCATATGGAATGGAGTTTTCGGCCAAGTGCATCACTGTCTCAAGTTAAACAGGGACTCCTACCAGCCAATCAGAAAATAGCATTTGTTGATTCTAGGTAAATTCCAAAATAAGTTACATGTGATCCCACTGCAAGCACGTGATTACATGGACTCGCACAGAGATAGAGTGCTGACGAGGTGGGAGTGGCAGAGCAAGGTATGATGAATGCTTTGACCGTGAGACACACGTTTTTCCTCTAATGTAATCTCACTCCAAACTTCTGATGAAACTTGAGAGCCTTGATGAGGTCAGTGTTTCCAGATAACAGTATGGAATACCCAGTAATACAGACTTCGTTATCTCTAGTTTACTGTGTGGAATACCCTGTAATACCGACCTCAGTATCTCCAGTTTACAGTGTGAATCCCCCAGTCCGCCAGACAGCAGCTTCACCCCTGAATCTTGCAGGTCATTGTCACTCAGGTCCAGCTCCCTCAGGTGTGAGGGGTTTGACCTCAGAGCTGAAGCCAAGGAAGAACAACCTTCTTCTGTGACTCTACAGCCGGACAGCCTGCAGAAAGCAAATCAAAATCATAAATGAGCATTTCATTTCCAAACCAAACTCTCGTCACGACGGGGCACCTGGGACCCCCAGACGTCGGCTGCTCCACCCCATCTCGCTCATCTCCCCAGTTTCTCATCTCCCCTGTCTCTCGCACCCAGGAGACACTGACCCAGAGAGAGGGTAACGCCAGCCACCCAACACTTTCCTCGTCATGCTGTCATTTTCTTTTTTTTTTTTAAAGTCTGCCTCACTGAAGCTTCAGTCCAGTGTGTCCTTAAACTCACTCCATGCTACACCGTCCAATAAAACTGTCCACTGCCTGGAACAACTGGAATTTTGTATTGAAATTACAATAAAAGACCAAATAATTCCTCAGCAGAGAGAAACACTGTAAAATCTCCAATAAATAAGATGACTTCACCATTAGATATATTACGTTTAAGTAAATGTGATTACTCCAATCAAGATTTCAATAATTACAGTTTACAGTGTGGAATACCCAGTAATACCGACCTCAGTATATCCAATTTACAGTTTGGAATACCCAATAATACTAGTCTCAGTACCCCCAGTTTACAGTGCAGAATGCCCAGTAATATTGACCTCAGTATCTCCAGTTTACAGTGTGAATCCCCCAGACCAGCAGAGAGCAGCTTCACTCCAGAATCCTGCAGGTCATTGTCACTCAGGTCCAGCTCTCTCAGGCATGAGGAATCTGATCTGAGACCTGAAGCCAACACCTCACAGCATTTCTCTGTGAGATAGCAGCTGTTCAGCCTGAAAAAGAAAATGTGTTAAGACAGAGACATACATATCCTATACATCAGAAACAGTACTGATATAAAATATCAAAACAAGCAGTTATTTTCAACATAATAAGCAACACAGCCTATAGTTCAACTAGGGAGAGCCTTAAATCACTACAGTTAGAAAATTTATTAAACATTAATTATCCTCTATCCATTTTAGTATTATCTATGATTCATCACAAAAAAACTGTGCAATTAGCAATTTTTAATTGATTCAAATTCTAATTTGTTTATATATATAATGTTAATATATTGTTTACTTTGAAGTTCAATTTGCCTTAGAAAATAAAAGGTGTTCTTTAATGTCATCGACCTTTGGCTATGTTTTCTTATTATTATGAGTGCGTAAATCATGCACCTGTGTCACTGATTTTCAGGAGACATTTATCTCAAATGCATTTAAATAGTTACTATTTTAATTTTAATAAGCACATATTGCCAGTACAGATTTTGTAGCCACAAACAATTCACAGCCATGGTGGTAAAGTCTCACTGTGGTCTATGGTATTGTTGTCTTGTCATGATACCAAAATTATGACTTCAATACGGAAACCACTTTAAGGATCATGATACCGGTACTGCAAGGATATCAATGCAGAAAAAATTGATAAGTATTGTTCATGGTAAATCATGCACCAGTATCTCTGATTTTCAGGAGATATTTATCTCAAATTCATTAAAATATTTACTCCTATAATAAACTGAGCCTTACTCTACTCCACCACATACCCTAATATTGCGAAGCATTGCATTATGATCGCTCTGATCCGTTCAGTTACAAGGAGAACAATCAGGGGCGTTTCTGGCTATTGAAAAGATCAGGGGTTAAGTCAAGATTACCTTGACTTTTTTGAAGGAGGATAATAGGCATCAAGGCTAAAATACTCGGGGCTTGGCTTAAAATACTCGGGGCTTGGCTTAAAATACTCGGGGCTAGGGAAGCCTACTCCAATGTGATGGGAAAAAGATCCTGTAAATCATTATAATGAGAAACTATGATTTACTACTTCACTACCCTCAGTCTTTATAAAAGCTGGGTTCCTGATTATCAAAAAAATCCAGCCTGGTCATTAATGCACAAGGAGGAATAAACTGCATGTGTTACATATTCATGTAAGACCAGACAGGTTTTCACATCCTCACATCACTTACAGAGCTGTCCTAGATGTCTTGATCACAGGCAGCAGCATCCAATGCTCTTCATCTGATCTGATGAATTTCTTCAGATCAAACACATCCAGCTCATTATCTGACATCAGTACCACAAAGGCCAAAGCCGAATACTGTGCAGATGAGAGGTGTTCTACTGACAGATGTCCTGAAGTCAGGTATCTTTGTACTTCCTCTACTAAAGACTTGTCATCCAGTTCATTCAGACAGTGGAACAGGTTGATGGTCCTTTCTGGAGATAAATTCTCCTGTATTTTGTCTTTGATGTATTTTGTTACTTTCTTAATGGCATGTGAGCTGGTTCTTGTCTGTCCTAGAAGCCTCTGTAACAGATTCTGACTGGAGTCTGTTGAGAGGCCCAGGAGGAAGCGGAGGTAGAAGTCCAAGTGTGCATTCTTGCTGTTTAATGCTTCATCCACTGCAGTGTTCAGCACGTCAGCTGATGTGTTTGATAGAAATACGTATAAAGCAGCGAGATACTCCTGGATGCTCAGATGCACAAAGCAGTACACCTTCTTCTGATACAACCCATATTCCTCTTTAAAGACACCTGTGCACATTCCAGAGTAAACTGAAGCTTCACTGATGTCGGTGTCATTCTCTCTCAGATCCTGCTCATAAAATATGAGATTCCCTTTTTCAAGGTTATGAAAAGCCAGTTTACCAAGTTCTAAAAGGAATCCCATTCTGGACTGAGAGCATTTAAGCTCAGTATACTTGTCATTTTTAAAACTTGTCTGAAAGATCAGGAAGTGTGTGTACATTTCAGTCAGAGTCCTTGGAATTTCTCCACTGTCCGTCTCAATAATAAGCCTCTCAAGAACAGTGGCTGAAATCCAGCAGAACACTGGTATTTGGCACAAAATGAAGAGGCTCCTTGATGATTTCACATGTGTGATAATCCTGCTAGCCAGGCTCTGATCACTAAATCTCCTCCTGAAATACTCCTCTTTCTGGGCATCACTGAACCCTTGTATCTCTGTCACCTGGTGGACGCACTCAGGAGGTATCTGATTGGTTGCTGCTGGGCGGGATGTTACCCAGAGGAGAGCAGATCCAAGCAGATTCCCCTTAATGAGATTAGTCAACAGCACATCCAGTGACGTTTTCTTTGTTATATCAAACCAGCTCTCATTATTCTGAAAATCTAGTGGAAGGCGACACTCATCCAGACCATCAAAGATGAACAAGACTTTGTACCTAGACAGATCCATGGATTCAAATGATTTCAGTTCTGGGACAAAGTGGTGAAGCAGTTCAATCAGACTGTATTCCTCCTTAATCAAATTCAGGTCCCGGAAAGGAAGAGCAAATATGAAGTGAACATCCTGGTTTGCTTTTCCTGCTGCCCAGTCAAGAATAAATTTCTGCACAGAGACCGTTTTCCCAATACCTGCAACCCCTTTAGTGAGTACAGTTCTGATAAGTGTCTTACTCCCACATAAGGGTTTAAATATATCATTACACTTGACTGTAACAGTATCTTCTGTTTTCCTTTTCTTGGATGCTGTTTCAATCTGTCTCACTTCATGTTCATCATTGACTCCTCCAGTCCAACCTTCAGTTATGTAGAGTTCTGTGTAAATCTCACTGAGAAGTGTTGGCTGTCCTTCCTTAGCTTTCCCTTCAAATACACACTCAAATTTCTTCTTCAGGTTACATTTAATTCTGTGCTGACATTGCAACAGAGGTTCTGAAAAGAAATGAGAGGAAAATGCACAAAACATTTTTTACTCATAAAAGCCAAATTAAATCAGATTAAAATAAATTTTAACCTGAATGTAATACATATTTTTTTCATATACAATTTTCTTGTGGCAAAGCCAAGATACACAGAATGATAAACAGCTTACTCTTCTCCAGCATGTCAGCAAGATCATTTTGCTCCATGGTCCTCAGGATGTACAGTGTGATCTTCAGAGCTCCCTCTCTACCACAGGTCTTCTGCATCTGACCATCACTGTTCTGGTCATTGTCCTCCTCCAGCTGAGGCTCAGAGCATTCCGGGTCATTCTGCTCTAGGTACCTTTTTAATCTCTTCAGCTCATCATTCAGAAACTTGTGAGCTTTTTCCTCTAGTAACTAAAATAAATAGTTACAGTTTAATAAACTACTAATTGTACATCTGTAGATGTATGCCAATTTAGATCAAATTTAAGGAAATATTTCAGTAATAAATGCACACCTTGAAGATGGATGATACATCTCCTTCCTGTGGATTTGAATGACATCTTCTCACTTTGTCACTGTGAATAAAACACAAACATCCATCCATTAATTCATCCATTTTGTGGGCTGCAGAGGAAAACCATGCAATAGAGGGACAGCGAACGAACTGCAAAGACAGGGGGGGGATGTCCCACAGCACCACTGAAGGCATGCAGGCTGCAAACAGACAGGGGACTCAGCCTCCAGCACTGGGGATGTGACCTGACAGCACAGCCCATGGTGCCGCTGTTAAATCAGTCATTTTATGGAGACAGAGGTCCTATTTTGCTGCTGCTTTATGGAAACAATGACCTACAGGCCCTTAAACTCAAAAATAAAAGTTAAAAAACAGAAGCCACAAATTTTAAGTTTTTTTTTTTAATTTTGAAAACAATTTTTTGTTTTAATTTCAACTTTAGGTTTCGTGACTCACGCTTTTAGTTTCATTTTCATTTTCATTAACAAAATCTTTTAGTTATCCTTTTAGTTGTAGTATCCATCATATAAATATGGCATTTATTCTCAGGATCAGTAACATTTTAAATATCACCTTTGGCACAGAAAGCAATTGTTTGATTTTTTTGACTGATGACTTAACAGGATATACAAGTTAATCATTAACATGCAGCTTTTCATTAAACATGTTCAAACTGAAGCCTTAGCCTGAAGCCTTAGCCTGATCATGATCTAAAGAGTTCATGAGAATGCATTGATTCATCAAAACAGAAGACGACAACAAGATATCATCCAGTCATTCTTAACGGATATACAGCAGTGTATAGCTGTCCAGCTGTATGCTGAGGATTTAAATTTAAATTGCACTTTCAGTGAAAAGCTTCAATGAAAACCTTCCAAATCCAGCTCACAGGAAGTCAGTCTTTAAAGTAATACTCATCCTTTTCTCTCAGATGTAATTCATATACAATACAGACAAAACTTCTGTTTAAATTCTCACAAACAATGGGTTTTGAGAAAGTTAAAAGATTACGCGTTTCTTATAAGGTCTCTTTCCTAACAGCTTGCATGTGTCTGTATGGCTTTGAACTGAGGGTTTGTTTAAATGCACATTTACCTTTGATCTAATGGAAAATGTCCTTCTCTGAAGGTGGGTGGGAGCCCCATTGACCAGTCACTCTTCATGAAAACACAGCTGAGTACAGGGTAGCCTGTTCTCTCCATCAGGACACTGGTTTCAAATGCAGTACAGACACTCCCTGGGTTACGATGGTCCATGTTATCATATTTCAGCTTTATGATGGGTAAATGTTTTTACTTTCAGTACATTATCCAATATATTACATAAGATATTAAGGATTTTGCCTAACTGTAGGCTAACGTAAGTGTTCTAAGCATGTTTAAGGTAGGCTAGGCAATGGTGTTAGTTAGGTTAGGTATATTGTATTAAAATGCATATTCACCTTACGATATTTTCGCCTTACAACAGGATTATCAGAATGTAACCCTATCGTAACCTGGGGAGAGGCTGTATGACAAATGTGATGTAGTGCCAAATTTGAGGGAATTTGTACAATGTCAATAATTATTTGAACTGCTACATATTATGTGAATTATAGATTAAATTCAGAGTCCCAGTGCTGAATTTGAACTGAAGACTTCCCGATCACAGGCACAGAGTCCTAACCCAGAGAGCCACATGCAAACTGCACAAAATTTTAATAATCACCCAGAGGTAAAAACAGTGCAAATGTCTCTTCCCGTAAGGCACATCAAGCACTGCTGAACCACAAGAAATTGTTCTAAGACTACATGGGAAACCCTGCTTTCCCCATAAAATTCTCAAAAGAAATGAATTTGTCAATATATAAATGTAAATTCATTTTATTTTATGATTAAAAGTGTAATCTCTTACTAACAGAGCCACAGCACTGATTGTTTCACAGGACTTGCTTTCGACAACATAAACGTTAATTTTCTTTATGAAGCCTGAATTAATACACCTCATAGACGCCCACTGACTCAGTGCTTCACTGGAAGTCTACGGATGGTTCATGTGTGTTATGTCAAAATGGAGAAACTTATTGGTGAATATGCCCTGATTACATGTTTACAGAGCCCACCTGGAAGACATGCTGCATGCTTTCGAAGGATGCAGACTACGCAGCCTTTGTAGGCTTTGTCCTTCAAAAATACTCCCAATGATTCTTGGCATAGGTTGGACCTAGAAATGCATCCTTCTTTTGCCAAACCCTGGAGGATCCACCCATCTGTTGCTGGTTTGAACCCAAAAGGACTCAGCCATCCCAGTACACAGAAAAGCTTGCCACCTCTTCCCCAGTCTGTGAAAGATGTCCCAGGATTTCTGGTTTTGCTTCATCTAGATGGTTGTCTAAAATATAATTATTTCTAAAAAAAACACTTTATTCAGATATTTAAAATTAGCAAGACTGGCCACCAAATGGCACAGACAAAAGTTAATTATGAACTTATTGCATATTACAGTAGAGTCTCGCTTATCCGACCTTCGTTTATCCGACATTCCATATTATCTGACGTCCCACCGCAAAAAAAAACGCATCAATAGGCAACAAGAACTGCAAGTTGTGAGCGTGACCGTAGTCTGTTTTTTGTTGGTACCGACTCTACCGCAGATAATTAGTTACCCCGACTGTACAGTGGCGCGCCCGTCTACGATATGACTCATGTGTCTGTCATTCGACTCACTGTCACAACGCAGACAATTCTGTAAGTTCATTTTTTCAGTTAATTTTTTCTGTTATTTTGTTGTAAAACATGATTATTGAGTTTGTAATGTGTAAAATTATAACATAGTTTGATGTTTAATAGGCTTTATCTTAACACCTCCCAGGCTCCCATTATCCGACTTTTTCGCTTATCCGACATTCTGCCAGCCCGTTTATGCTGGATAAGCGAGACTCTACTGTAAATGTAATTTAACCCAGACTTAGATGGGGATACTAGACATGTCATTTTCTGGCTATGTGGGTGATGTGTCTCAGTCCTATAACCTACAGAAAAAAGGCTCTGGCTTCTCAGTACTTGTTTGTCAAAATATGAAAATTTAGCAGTTTTACGTTCTAATTCTGCAAACAGTCAAAAGTTGAGTGAATATTTTTTTCAAGTTTGCACTGAAATACACTATACGGAAAAAAGGTTTTGGGACACACCTCCTAATTAATGAATTCAGGTGCTCCATTCAGACCCATTGTCACAGGTGTATAAAATCAAGCGCCAGCCATGCAGTCAGATTTACAAACATTTGTGAAAGAATGGGTCGTTCTGAAGAGCTCAGTCAATACAAGCATAGTGCTGTCATAGGATGCCACCTTTGCAATAAGTCAGTCTGTGAAATTTCTTCCATGCTAGATATTCCGCAGTAAACTGTAAGCGGTATTATTCCGAAGTGGAAGCAATTAGGACCAACAGAAACCACGTTAAGTACTAGAGTGGGATCTCTGAGCACTGAGACACATATTGTGTAAAAGTCACCAACGCTCTCTGCAGAGTTCCAAACTGGTGTAAAGCACACCGCCACTGGATTCTAGAGCAGTGGAAATATGTTTTGTGGGGTGACGAATTATGCTTCTTTGTCTGGTAGTCTAATGGATGAGTCTGGGTTTGGCAGATGCCAGGAGAGTGTTACCTGGAAAAACTTGACTGGCCTGCACAGTGACCTGATCTCAACCACATGAGCCAGGCTTTCACGTCCAACATCAGTGCCTGACCTCACAAATACTCTTCTAGATGAATGGGCAAAAATTTCCACAGAAGCAGTCTTCCGTGAATGGCAGCAGCTGTAGCTGGAAAGGGGGGACCCACTCCGTATTGATGTTTTATAATGGGACGTCATAAAAGTTCCTGTGGGTTTAATGGCCAGGTGTCCCAATACTTTTGTCCATATAATTTATGTCACAGGCAACTACCCTGTCAGTGCAAGTACGTAGGCAATGCGTCGCATAAACGGCGGATGGTACCCAATTGGATCGCAATTGGATCGCGTTCTATTACGAAGCATCGCGTTTTATTCGCTTTTTAGTCGCTTTTTGGCAGGGAAAACTACGCATCACGTCGGATCTTGTTTAGAAAAGGGTTTGTTTGCCTCTGGAAGTAGCAATATTACTATAATAAAATTATTTAATGCAGTAATATTACTTGTCATATTATAGGGTATGGTATGATTTACATGGCTATTTTATATGCTGGACATTGTTTCTTGTTATTAAAATTTAAATGAGTGCGCACTTGTGTGGAGATCTATTGAGAGATGTCTCACTGTGGGTGAAGACTTGGCAATGTCAGATGGCTATACATGCAACTGTTATTAAATAAGTGTGTGTTGTTAGGGAGACAATGGTCTGCTTCTGCAGTTGTAGTCCATCATGTTTTCGCTGAAAGTACTCCAGTGGTTTTCCAATAAGTATTGGGTGCTTTGTTTTGATATGCCGCTTGAGTTTTGATGGTTTTAGAGCTTCGTTTGAAAGTGTTAATCCACAATACACACACTGTGCCTTGGGCTTACATGGCTGGCTTAAAGCAATGCATTCTGGGCCTGATGCAATGCATCATGGTTAGAATTAAATGTTGTGCTGGCGGCCCTATACGGACCAATAGCCAGTCTCGATTTTAAATTCGCGGGCCAATCTGTAGCCTTCGTGGCTCATCAGTGGTTGAGAAACGTGGTTTTAAAAGATATTTTGTTCCCTGTTAAATCAACTTTAAAAGACAAGAAAAAAAAGAAAAGTCTATTCCATCGCCTACGCTTGGTTGGAAAGGTAGGTTGAAAATCATTTCTTTCTTAAATAGTTTCAGATTTGATTATTTATTGTTACAAACTTTTTATCGCACTTTAACCATTTTAACATCTATGGCTATGCTAACGTTACCATGCTCGACCTTTTGTGATGTATTTGTATGTTACTATTCATTTGAGTTGTATTACTATGGCGTAAGATCACTCTCAAAATACATGTGCATACTGAAAATTCACAATTGTGCTTTTCAATTTTCAATATAATACAAGATAGTAATTGTGATCACTTAGGGTTTTAGAGTAATTTTTTACCGTCTTGTTCTTACAGATGTTCCTTCGAGAACTTCGTTACCCAAAGGGCAACTTATACCAAGTCAATGCACATGTAAGTTGAAAACAAATCTACATCTGTCTTGATGTATCTCTAAATATTTAATGCTGTATTCTCTATTGTTGACCTTACAGCAACAGAGAGGATCCTTCTGCAAATGTTGGGGGAGTTGCAGAGCCAGGTCCAACACCTGAAAGAGATTGTTACCCAAAGACCTTCCTTTTTGGGTAACAGTCCTGCAGACACACCATTAACAATGGCAAGTGCACTGTACAAAATTGATTTATGATCTATTTTAATTAAATTATTTTAGATTGATTTTGGAAATGTTTATTTTTTTCCTAGTTTAAATAATAAAGTTTCAAGGTGTATTTAAGTTTATATTTCATACCAATTATATTTCTAAGTGAATTACTATTAACTGAATTATAGAGATTTTTTAAATACTTTTTTACAGGTCTTTCTATAAGAATCTATTATTTTTTCAGTGTGCAGAGGATGGTGGACTTCTACTGCAAGACATTGAGGAGCTGAAGAACATCGAAATGCAGTTGCAAGGTAATATATGGATACTAAGAAATATAATATATACTTATATCAAATTCATATATACACTCACCTAAAGGATTATTAGGATCACCTGTTCAATTTCTCATTAATGCAATTATCTAATAAACCAATCACATGGCAGTTGCTTCAATGCATTTAGGGGTGTGGTCCTGGTCAAGACAATCTCCTGAACTCCAAACTGAATGTCAGAATGGGAAAGAAAGGTGATTTAAGCAATTTTGAGCGTGGCATGGTTGTTGGTGCCAGACGGGCCGGTCTGAGTATTTCACAATCTGCTCAGTTACTGGGATTTTCATGCACAACCATTTCTAGGGTTTACAAAGAATGGTGTGCAAAGGGAAAAACATCCAGTATGCGGCAGTCCTGTGGGCGAAAATGCCTTGTTGATGCTAGCGGTCAGAGGAGAATGGGCCAACTGATTCAAGCTGATAGAAGAGCAACTTTGACTGAAATAACCACTCGTTACAACCAAGGTATGCAGCAAAGCATTTGTGAAGCCACAACACGCACAACCTTGAGGCGGATGGGCTACAACAGCAGAAGACCCCACCAGGTACCACTCATCTCCACTACAAATAGGAAAAAGAGTTAATTTAAACTGGTGTGGCAGAGGGGACAAAACACCGATGAGGAATACAAACATCATAGATGTGATTATCCGTAAGTAAAACCAATGTTTAAGCAAAGGTAAAATTTGACCATTCAGCATAAAATTTTTATCCTGAAGGTTTAAACACAATATGGATTTAACCTCCCCATGCACGTTACATAATTCTTCCCCATAGTTTTCATTGGTTTTAATGGCCAAAGTTGCTTTTTTTCTGACTGCAGATAAAAAGTGAACAATCACAATGTAAAGGAATAACAATAAACTCACCTGTTCATGATTGACATTTACCATTTAATAAGGTCTAATGTAAGTGAATTGTGTCTGTTCTGTTTTTTAGAGTCTGCATTACGAAACCCACTGGTGTCTAGTCCAAATGAGGCTGAAGCTGAAACAACCATCAAAGAGTGGCTCGTGACCAGTGATGGGCAAGTTACTCTGGGAAAGTAATGCGATTACTGATTACTAATTACTCAGTTCAAAAGTAATCTAATTACTGATTTATGATTACTACCATAAAAAGTAATCCAATGGATTACTTTTAGTTACTTTTTGTGACGGCCATGTATTTCCACAATACTTAAATCCACTTCATACCACCAGCAATTCAGTTCTTAAAGAAACAACAACAGGGGTCTAGTTAACACTTTATTGCTATCTTGAACAAGGCCAAAACAAGCAATCAACTTTCTAAGTTGAATATTTAATAAAAAAATAAAATGCATCTTTGTTTTAAATCAAATAAATACAACTCTTTTCCACTGTTTTTGCAAAGTCACAATAAAAAGTTCTGAATTTTTCTTCCAGTTAGAATGTGTAAACAATGCTACTGCATAGTAAATCATATTTTATAACAAAAAAAAAATTCTTAAGGCAGCACTAGAAAGTTTTAGAGAGAATGTCAAGAATTTCCAACATAAACCTTCCAACACAACTAACATAACTTGTGCTTCGTAAACCATTTTGAACTTGCCTCTCCTTTATTTTCTGGGTCAATGGGATTGGAGGATGAAAAACAGTGGTTGTATCGCATCAAAAGAAGCATCTCAAATCTCCGGTCAGACAACCTATTTCTCCTTGGTGTGAGAACTATCCCACCTAAACTAAAGAGGTGCTCTACAGGTGCACTAGATGGTGTTGGGGTGTTGTACTTCAAGAAAACATTTTTGATGTTTGGGAATTGTTTAACTTTGTTGAGCACCCCATATGAAGCAATGACATCATATGTGTGCCTGCCCCTTATTCTCTTGCATGCGAGAACTGCATTGTTGCGCTGTAAAGTGCATGGATTGAACCAGTGTATAGTAACCCCCATACAGCTTTTATTATGAGATGTCCAAATGTCCGCAGTAGTCGACACAAAGTTTACCGCCTGCAGTGCGGCCCTCAGATTGGCCTCCATTGTAGCATATTCCTTATCTAAATAGTTAGAAAACGTTTTTCTCTGAGGCAGCCATGCATTATTCCGTGTGGGTATTTTGTCGATTAAACCGCGAAAAGACGGCGAGTCCACTGTGGATATGGGAAGCATTTCCTCGACTATGTAAGCAGCAACAAGTTTTTTCAAGTTTTCCCCACTCACCAGTTGACTTGAAAATTCTAGTCTGAGCTGTTTAGTTGCAGGAAAAGATGAATCCGAGTCTGTGTTGGGGACTGACCCCGCTTTCTCCACTAGCCTAACAGCACTGTGACTGTGTTGTCCTTTGAGATGTTTAGATAGATTTGAAGTCGAACTCTTAGCGGTAGAAAGTCTTTTGTCTCCCGCACATAAGACACACTGTACAACTACACTCACCTAAAGGATTATTAGGAACCAGTGGCGGTTCTACACGGAGGCCTAGGGAGGCCCGTGCCTCTGTAGACATGTCCCTGGCCACCCCTGTGGCCCCCCTGTGCTGACCAAATAAAAAAGTACGAATTTATTATGATTTTACACACGAG